ACCTGTACAATGAAATTATAACCTCTTTAGACTTGTATTCAATATTTCTGTAGATACAACCTAAAATCCTATTTGTCCTACCATAAAGTAATGTTTATATGATAAAAAGTGTATGTTGGCAAAAAGGTAAGATTACATTCATTTTGTAAAAACAGGTGAGAGTTAAGTATCTGAGCAAAGCTTTGTATTATCAGTTACAAGTTTAGTGAAAAGCTCCTGAAGAAGCTCTAAAACAATATGTCAAAATTAAAATTAAAGTAAAAATGTGGAGCTATAAGGTCATTAATTTCTAGAATTATGATGTCTTTTATACAACAATATGCACTACTGAAATTAAATAATGATATTATTTTGCTCTTGTCTACAGGAGTACAGTGAAGTTTGACTTCCAGCTGTAGGAAGAATGTATAAATATAATAAAATTACAAAGAGTATTACACTTTTGTGTATATATACATATATTAAACACCACTTCTGTTCATGGCAGCTCTATTGTAAAAAAATGATTTTGTTATCAATCTGTGCTGGGCTATAAAATCCTAATGATTAAATGTTAAAATCATGAAATACATGAATAGAGCTCAGAAAATATCTAAAAAGGTTAGTAGCCATCTACATTTTCCATTAGTCAGTTGAAATTGAGACAAAATTTCATGTTTCCCACAACACTCATGGCGGCAAGCACACAGTAGCATTTGACATTCAAATCAATAGTGATGAACTGTCAGCTGTGGGATATCATAGAAAACTTTCTTTCTGTTACACTGTTATTGCTTTCTAATATAATAGTAAATCTTATACAAGTCTTATCACTTAACGTCACTGGCAATAATGATGTGACTCTAAAAGTTGTTTGTTGTACATAGTATTTTAATAAATCATACTCCAAAATAATCTGATAAATCAGTTCTTTGTTGCATCAAGTAGGATCATGAAAAAATAAAGGATGAGAGGCAGTCATTTAGAGTTAAAAAGTTAAAAGTTGTGTTAATGAATACCAAACTTTATGTTATACATCATTTATTTTAAATTTAAACAGTTATTTCAAAATATGATGAAGCTGCAAACAGCACCTTATACAATGTGAAATAGCTTCAGTAACAAACAGTACAATTTGCATGGTCATCAGTTTGAATAAGGCACCTCAATTCTACTAGTTTCTTTTGGTTAGTACAAAGCAGCGGACTGCTGTTACAGGCTGGTAGCAAGGTACCTGTTACCCACTTGCTCATTTCCACACACACAGTTGGCAATGAGTCAGCAAATCTAAGTCTATGCAAAAACAGGTCATCAGACATTTGAATATTAACCTTTTTCCTTCTTTTCCTTGGTTCAAAAAAATGTGTTCCAGCATGAATACAGTACTTCTATTTATCAGACATTTTTCTTTACTTGTTAACTATACATAGAAAACTTAAATGCAAAATGTGATATATGCCATTCTTGACAAAACTGAGCTGCTAATGGCATTGTATCATTTGTGTTCACTGTTAGATAAAAGCAGACATCCTTAGTTATATTCTACTTTTGTGTAAGTGTGTTTTGTTTAACAGGAGGAGGGAAAAGAAGATTTTTTTAAGCATTTTATCTTTTGGTCCAAAAGGTTTTTCTTCAAAACTTCCAAAAACTTGTTTATGTGTTCCTCAAACTTTAGTAATTTACTAATTATGCTCCTATCAATATAATTAATAAAAAATAAGGAAAAGTAAAGGCCTAAGTACTGATCCCTGAAGCACTCCACTAGCAATAAGGGTCCAGTTTGATAATCTTTTGCTTTCTCTCACCCAAGATGAATACCATACAACCAAACATAGTCTTTCCCCAACACCTAGTGTTATGATTTTCTTTGCTTATCTGTTTTTTTGTGGTACCTTGTGAAGTTTTTTTTATCTAAATCAACACCCTATCAACTTTGAAATACCTATTAATTTAGTATCATCCATAAAGTTAATCAGGTTACTAGTTATTCTATTATCAATACCATTAGTGAAGATGAGATATAGCAGAGAATGTAACACAGAAACTTGAGGTACACCACTTGTCACATTAAATTAATCCCATTATTTCATCCCACTTATAACAACCTTTTGCCCTCTACCACCTAACCAACTTTAAATACATTTATCTAAGTCCTTCATTGACAGATGTAATCTTCCTAACAAGTCTCTTAAAAGGCTAATCTACAATCCTCGACTCTAGTATCTCACCATTTTTAATGGATTCATTAGCCTGATTAGGCAAAACTATTTCTTTTTTTTAAGTTATAAATATAAGCATATGAAATGATTAACTTCCAAGCTATTGTGTGCTACTATTTCTATTAGCTTGTTTATATATTTTTTTGGTATATGAATATGAAAAGTTACATTCAGCTAGTTAGTTGGGTTAGTGTTCTTTTTTTTTTATTGTTTGGGCTAAATGGCCTTGTGTGACTACCTGTTCCCAGTTTGCCCCTGAAGAAGAATGGTCCAAATTTCGAAAGCATTTGGGTTACAGGGTTTTTATTCATTTTTATCAAGACTACTTGAACCTACATGTTTTCTAACATCATGAATGTTCTTAAAAAGCTATATTCTTAAAAACATGTGCCCAGAAACAGTGTTCACACAGGCAATCATACTCTTGAGTTAAATCATCCAAATCGGAGTTACTTATTATGCCTGTCATTATTACAAATTGTAAAAATTCATTCACTGACAAGAATAAATGTTACTTTGGTTTACCAGACCTTACCCAACTTTGAATACATTCGTTATCATTATGTATCAGTTTCTCCTCAATAACTATAAGCTTAAGTCACAGACTACGTGTAGGACTCTAATAATAAGTTAGCTCAAATATCGGGCTAGAATTCTCTAGGAATAAGGTATCTAAACTAGTACTAGTAGTACTACCATACTGAATACTAGGCTACTACTAGTAAGTAGTAGTTGTAACTTGTATTTTGTGAGTAGTAGTACTACTCGTAATTGTTACTTTAGTTTAAAAGTTTATCTACGCTTAAAACTATATATAACAAAGTACATATCGTACCGGTGTGTGATGTTTTCTAAACGGCAATTTTTAAGCTTTTTAAAACTGATATGAGGGTCTTAGATTTTGGTGTACAATAAGTACAAAAAGAATTTCAAAATATAATTATATCACTCATAGCTACAAACTATGAAAATCAAACATTAAGACTACCGCTCAGAAGAAGCTGCTTTAACGCCACCTTATGTAAATAAAAACTTCGCTTTTAAATATTTGAAACGTACCTAAATGTCTTCATGACGAAGAAAAATTTACTTTCCGAACACGCCCAATTTATCATGTTTTTTGTTGTGTAAGCTATCTATTTTATTTTATGTGATATTTTAGTGTTACCAATATGTAACAAAAGTAACACATTATTAGCATTTAGATTAATATACCAGTTTAAGAAAGTTACGATACAACTAAGCCTTATTATGTTTTGAATAGTGGGCAAGCACCAGAGGGTTGGAAATTGACTAATGTTACTCCACTTTTCAAGAAGGATGATAAAAATTGCTCCAGTAATTACAGGCCTTTAAGTCTTACATCAGTTGTGGGAAAAGTTTTGGAAGGTATGATAAAAAATGCTTTGGAAAGTCAACATGGTTTCACTAAGGGAAAATCTTGCCTTACAAATCTTTTGACATTCTTTGAAAACGTTACTGCTAATGTAGATGAGAGTAATGGTGTAGATTTGATGTATCTATATTTTCAGAAAGTACTTGAAAAGGTGCCACATAAAAGTCTTGTAAAAAATTATCTTTATAGGTGTGGATGTTAAGTTAGCTAGTTTAATAGAAGAGTGGCTGGATGGAAAAAAAAGCAGAGGGTTGTTATAAATTGAGTTCAGTCAAACTGGATGAATGTCACAAGTGGGGTACCTCAGGCTCAGTCTTAGGACCTTTACTCTTTATTTATTTACATCAGTGACATAGATGAAGGAATGGTCAATAAATTACATAAATGTGCCGATGATATTAAGGTCTTGGGTGTTGTTAGCTGTGAAGAGGACGCTGCTGATTTACAAAAGGATTTACATCATTTAGTGAGTTGAATGAATAAATGATAGATGGGTTTTGATTACAATAAATACTGGATAATGCATGTCGGTTATCATAATTTGAATTATAAATATAAATGGATGTGAATGGCCTTAACAGTGTTATGGAAGAAAAGGATATGGACGTTCTTGTTTATCAGTCTTTAAAGCCATCTATGCAATGCGCTGTTGCTAGCAATAGGGCAAATAAGATTTTAGGGTGTATCTACAGAAATATTGAAGATACGTTTCAAGAGGTTATAATGTCATTGTATACGTCACTGGTTAGGCCACATTTGAAGTATTATTTCCAGTCTTGATATCCTTACCTTAAGATGGACATTGAATTGTTGGAAAGGGTTCAGAGAAGGGTTACTAGAATGGTACCTGGTATGGAGGGGTTATCATATGAGGAGAGGATGAAGTCTCTCAAATTGTTTTCTCTTGAAAAAAAGAAGAGTTAGGAGGATCTGACCGAGGGGTTTAAGATTGTAAAGAAAATTTATAGTATTGATGCAATATCGTTTTTCATACTTAATGGTGAGAATGGTATAACTAGGGGAAACAAGTATAAATTTTGGTAGGGTAGAAGTCATCTTCAGCTAAGACATTTTTATTTTTCTGGTAAGATGATTTGTCTTTGGAACGAGTTGCCTTCGGATGTTATGAAAGCAGTACATTTAAGTGAGTTTAAGAGAAAGCTTGATAACTATATATGAATGATAACGGCTGGTATTGCTGATTTTTGTGTTTAATACTTTACAAGGAACTATTTCCAGTGAGTATATAAAACAAAGAGAAACTGCATGAACATTTATAAAAGTATTGCGTGAATATACCCGAATAAAGATTTTTTTTCTCCTCTGGCCCGGCATGGCTAGGTGGTTAGGGTACTCGACTCGCAATCTGTGGGTCGCGGGTTCGAATCCCCTTCACACCAAACATGCTCGCCCTTTCAGCCGTGGGGGTTTTATAATGTGACGGTCAATCCCACTATTCGTTGGTAAAAGAGTAGCCCAAGAGTTGGCGGTGGGTGGTGATGACTAGCTGCCTTCCCTCTAGTCTTACACTGCTAAATTAGGGATGGCTAGCGCAGATAGCCCTTGTGTAGCTTTGCGCGAAATTCAAAACAAACAAACAAACAAAGATTTTTCTATATTAGTTGTGGAAGGGTGCAATTAATAGCTGTTCCAGTTACCACAGCAGTATAAGAAAATAAGTTACGCTAGGGAAGCCTATTGTTCATTTATATTGCATTGAATCTGTAGTGAGATATTATTTTATTAAGTTTCTTAGTCAATTAATGACTACAGTTTTGTGAATACTAGTGTTTTTGCCAAGTACTAGAGATACGATAGAACTCGCAAGTAACTGGCTGTTTGGCGTTATTTGGATATTAACCCTATTACTCAATGAACATTAGGCTAGTAAATGAAATTTGTAGAATATGTAGTCGAAAAAATAAAAGGCTTTCGTTAGCATTAAGTGAAAAAGACGTTGCATTCTTCTTTTTTTACA